TCCCCCTCATACGAGGACCGAAACGAATGCGACCAAGAAAGGGATCTTGTGGTCGAACACCTGCTCCAGCCGGACAAGAAGCTCATTAGAGAGCTTGGTCTGGACTATAGCTCTGCATATCTACACAGCAGCACGCTCAGGATAGATGACAAGGTTAGGCACCAAGATGAAGAAAGCAGTAAGGAAGTTTGGGAGAAAGAAGTCAAAACCTTTCAGGAAATGTTGGAGTACAAATCTATACCAGAACAAAACAGAATGCAAGGTGATAGTGTCACCAACATCCAGCATCACTCCAGTATGAATACTGTCACCCCTACCTACCCTTATCAGCTCGTCGCAAACCCTGTACCTGATCCAGATCTACTGTGGCCTAAGCCCTCCTTACAGCGAAAACATTCTCTCAGACTCTCAGACCAACAAAGAGATGATCATCTAAAGCCAAGGGAGCTCTCTGTGACTGCTGAGGATAGGCAGGAGAGTCGATCAGACACCACAACCTTCCACCACAGTGAGGTTCTGGAGCTGACGCCTGAAAAGTCTCCACTAACAGGAAACAGTGATAGTTTTATTGAAGATGACTGTAGGCTCTATCAGACAGCAGATAGACCAGAGGAGGAAGACACCTGCAGTTCCCTGTGTCTGAACACTGATGAGTTGATCAATCCGAATAATTACCGAACCGGTTTAATGAACTATCACGGCCACCAGCGGATTTACAATAACCATGAATCTACAATGCATCAACATTCCCATTATAAAGTTATGCTTCAACAATCAAAAGCTGCCTGCAAACAGGACTCAACGGGCAGCATTTTAAAAGACCTGAATCCTCCCACAAACCATAGGGAAGTTGCTCTTATATCCACAAGACCAGCAGAGAGCAACTGGAGACAGCAAACCCAAAGAGCCAGGTCACCAGGAGCGTTCTGCGATCAAAGTGCTGTTATGTGTCCATTTGACCAGAGGGAAAAGGAATGTGGATCTATTGTGGATGCAGACTGTTTAGAAGCATGTGAAGGTGCAGACAGCAGCATCTTTGACTACTGCCAGGCCAGCGAGCTTGAATCGGACTCAGAGACTGTCCGAAAGTCAGCTGATGAGGGAGACGGCGAGTCTGGGCACTGGGCTGTGGAGGAAGTGCAAAAGGATGGGTTTGATGAGAACAGTGTTCCTCAGACCCACAAAATTATCCAAAACACGTCCATTGGAACCAGAAGAGCAGAGGAAATGGAGAACCAGAGCATCACTGGGGACAGTGGTATTGACTCCCCTCGGTAAGTACCCAAAACTATGTTTTTCTGTGTGTCATGTAAGTGTTAATATTAGTAACTTACGGTAATAAGAAAAATCATGTGAAGGCCACTGTATTGTAAAACGAGCAAATATATTTCCCAGCATAATCACACCTATTTAATACATTTTGCTATGTGGCCACTGCTAATTTAAATCCTTTTATTGTAACTTTATTCAATAGACTTTAGCAGAGTAATATATATACTAGGGAAAGTGAATTCAACATGTTTTAATTATTTACAAATACAAATCAGGTACCTGTAAGAAATCCAGTTTAATCTCTTTCGACCATAAACTGACTAGCAAGAGATGCAATTTGAGAAGCAGCCAAGGGGTATTTGGTATCTCTGGAGGAGCTGCAGAGAGCCACAGCTCAGATGGACTGGATAACTTTTAGCTCTGGGATCTACGGTATATATGAAATCTACAGTGGAAAAAATGAAATTCATTGTTAAAAGTAAAGCAGAAGTCCTGATGCTGGTTTGCTACAAGCCATGTTGTGAACAGCAAACATTGAAGAAGTTCTTCTTGTCAAATAAGACTTACTCTCAGCCTACATGTTAAATTTTAAAAGTAGCAAAAAAGTAACACTGCAAATCAGCCTCAACACGCACCAACATGCTGTTGGGATTCAGTTTAACGTTGTATAACGCTTAGAACAGGGCAGTATTGAAATACAAAAAAAAGCTATCAAAAAGCAAAATAACCTAAAACCTAACCTAAATAACTTGATGATGGACTTAAACATTCAATCAGGGTAACAATTTGATGGTCACTTTGGACACATCCTGCTGCAAAAATACTGCAGAAGAGGATCTGCAGCAATTCTGGAAGTAAAATGTTTACAGACCATCTCCTTATAATCTGAAGAGTTTGAGGTATTTTGCAAGGATGAAACTCCTAACATTTGGGTTTCCAGATTGATGAAGCTGATAGAAATATCACCTGCAAAAATGGCTAATATAAAACTATTCTTTAGTGGGATAAAAACAATTGCAAGGCATCGTACCGTTCCAGATATGTGCCCACACACCAAGACCTGCCTTTCAGAAGGGTGCTCAGCCAACACAAACACAGAACTGACGTTCGTTAACCCCAGGGTTGCACGTCTGTGGTTGGCCTCACTCCTAAAATGTGTTGTTTTACTTTAAAGGTAAATTGCAATAAAGCTGAACAAACACCTTGTGGCCAATTATAGCATCCAGTGTTTGAACAGAAGGGAGTCATTGCTAATAATTATCTGTAATTGCTGTGCAGCACTTAAAAAGTCATTTTGAAATTGAAGAGGAAGAAAAGAGTTTCTTTCCTGGCATTGAACTCTCTTTGCACCTGGTGGTGTAGCTAGGGGAATGGTTTCTGTGTCATGTTACCAATGTGGTGTTTGATTTTTTTCTTCTCTCCTCCTTACAGGACCCGCGTCAGCCTTGCATCCAGCAACACTGTTATCCTTGAAGGTCTCAAAAGGAGGGGCTTCTTGCAGAACCTGGAGAAACTGCACTCAAAGAGCAGCACCATCCGACCCCAGAGCTCACTGCTGCAGCTCACTCCTGTCATGAACGTATAGCGGGACCTTTGTTCAAGCAATGCTCGACACTTCTCTGAGATGCATCAAGAGAATAGATGAGGGCGCATAATGTGCTTCCTACCTCCACATACTGACAACCATAACAACCCAGTCTGTGTTAAAATGTATGATACAACTAATGTAAATACTTTCCAGAGGAATGTGTTTAGATATATCCAATCTTGTGTATGTCTGATTATACAGTTTGCATTCTATGCAATATAAAGGGCCTTATTTTCATTCTCTGATTGTTTAAAATGTGTAGAGAAACAATAACCTGTCTTGATTTTCCACCTTTTATACATGTCATGAGTCTCACAAATAAAATTATATATCCTCCAAAATGTTTTATTCCATTATATAGTTATGTCTGTATGAACCTTATTTAGAACTTTTTTACACGTTTTAATTAATAAAGCTGCTAGACTTTAGGTGTTCTTAAGTTAAACCAGCATTAGTGACTAATTTAAATAAGGACCTTTAAGACAACGACTTCTCTGTTAATTAGGATAGGGAAGGATAATCGTCACATTGTTTATGATTATCAGGTATTTCTTTATCCTTGTAGGAATTGTGTCTTTTAACGATAGTTACCTGCGAATTTTGCAAACTTTCAAAACTAAAAGTATTGTTGGTAATTTTTTAAGATTTTCTGCTTTTAGTTCTGAAAAGGCAGCAATAAATAACTATCTTTAAATTAGTTTTTGTGAGATTTTTTGCTCTTAAACTGCAACTCAATCATTACCCCTTTAATAAATGGAGAGCCCTTCTTTCTTCATGTTTGTCTTCAAGGGTACAATCACCCATCTGTACTTTTAAAAACTGTTTAAAAGAACGACAACAGAACAGTGTAATGTCTGCGTCGTGAGCATCTTAAGATAACTATTAATGTCATGACAGGTCAAGGCAATAGATGGGTGGTTCTATATGGGCCTGTGCCCCAATAGAACTGGTGCTATTCTGTTTTTTAAGTTATAGCGTATCCTTTTGAGTTTGTAGATGGAGTAAGATGATTTGTTTGTAAAAAAACAAACATATTTTCTTATTCCAGGTGTTTAAAATCAAATGTTATTCTAAGAACAGAAATAGCCTACTCTTAGAATTGACGGATCATGTGATCTTCTTGCTCAAATTGAGGGCAAATACATGAATACATGGAATTTATCTCTGCTTTTAGTGTAATATCAATTTCTTATATGTGCTGACAGAAGAGACCGTTGCTGATCCGTCACTTAGATTTAAATTTCACGATTGAAATTTACCTAAAAGGTATTTAGAAAATTAGTCAGCTTTAAGGTTTTGCCATACTATGATAGGATCATAGTTTTGATCAGGTCTACAGCCTTGGCTTTGGGGCTATCTGTATATTAAATGATGCTTTCTTGCTGTAGTTTTATTCTTCTGTTCTGTGCCCTCATGATAAAACAATGGCCTCCCTGTTAATTTTAATCTAGAACAGCAAATGTTTGGTAACCACCCCACTCATCAGAGAAGCTGCCAACAGGCAACTGACTCTGGAGGAGCTTCAGAGATATATGGCTTTAAGGGGTTAATCTATAAACGCAGCAAATTATAGCTGTTGCTGTCAAATCTTGGTGGGAAAAAATTGATGGAAATCCACTAGATATGTCCTCTAGGATGTTGAGGTGAATCAGGGTGCGGCTCAGAAAAGTGACATCTAAAGAAAAACAAGTTTTTAAAAAAGTTCAAGGTGAAAGTTCATTTGCAGTTGGTAATACCCCTAAATATACAGCTTTAACTTTAAAAGCTGTCATGGTCCTACTTCATCTCAGACCTGAATTAAACTGCAACTTTGGCAAGGCTTTATGTGCATTTATAGTATGGATTGTGAATCAGAATCAGTTTTATAGTGAAATTGTTTATTTCCAAGTATAGAAACCTGGAAAAACCCTCAAATACTTATTATAGGCAACCACCAAGACCTGTTTTAACTAATCACACTACTGCTATTAACCTCCAAGATTGGTGCTGTTAACTCATTTGCACTAGAATGGCTTTTTTGCTGATAAAAGGCGACACCATGTGGTTACACTGTGTAAGTACATGTCCCAGGAAACGTTTTTTCCCTTGATTTTATTTGTCATAAGGCTTTTAAGAACTGCATTAATTAAACACCATGAGATGAGAGTCAACAACCTTTATTTTATCCATATATGTGCCACTCAGATGGGAAACATGTTACAGGGTTTGCCCTCTAGTCTATATGGAGATTTTACATCATTTTCTCTACCAGGCCATTGACAAAAATAATTGGGAGGGAGGGGGGAAACAATATAGTTGTAACAGTGTAAACACATAGCAATATACATAAAAGCAAAATAAAAAGGTGAAAAATTTAAATGTAGGGTAAGTTAATATGATTAAGAGCTAAAAAAAAAAAAAAAAAAAAAAGAATCCTGAAATCCCTAACTTCTGAAATAACAGCTCGGCATACATTTCTACGTTGCATGCAATAAGGCACCTAACTAAAACAAGGAAAAGGACTATGCTACAATGTGACGCACAACTTTTATCCGAATAAGATATTGCTCACCAAAATGTTTAACTCTCATAAAATCCAGTCTCTCGTTCCCTTTCATATAACCCAAGCCATATCTTAAAAAAATATGTCAGTTTCTAAAAGATATTTTACACAGAACAGTAAATAGAGCGCAATCCATTGGACTTCAGAAAAATCTTGTAAAATGAGATTCTCATGTTTTAGTATACACAACAGTTTTTGTTTTGTTTTAGATCAAACAACGAAAGTTTGCAGGTCAACAAGAATATGCGTTACCTATAACTCTATACACAGGTATTTATTTTCCAAAGCAATACTGTACACTTGGATCTTAAGTGTAGTTGAAACCACAGTAAATAATTAGGACACGGGTCTTGTTGGAGTATGCTACCCAGAGGGTTTTTATTTTCTAATATGCATTTCCCCATCAGTAAAGTTCCTGTCAGAATGGACTCAGGTGTTAGCCAGTATTGCTCTCTGTACAAACCATGAAGCCGTGCTAAACCAGAGACGTACAAAAAAAAAAAAAAAACAACAATCTGATAAATATACAAGATGGCTCATGTTAACGGAGCCCAACTCAAAACACAAGCTTAAAGGAAAAACATTCTGCATCTTCTTTCGTTTTTATATCCAACACTTAAAACAAATCAAAGTCAGAAAAAAAAAAAAAAAAGTGGGAGACAGAGTGAATCCTGCTATCAAAAATTGTATCTTCTGGAACAGCACACTAGTTACCTATACACGCACACATATATATAAAAAAGAAAATCAATAAGTATCTACATTGGATTTTTTGATATTTGCTTCATGAGTTAAAAAGCTGAGGGAAAAAAAAAGATTTTCAAATGGAGGCAAAAGTTCTTGTTCAGTTGTGTTTAACAATTTCAATAAAGTTGCAGCTGAAACGCAAATGTGCAAACCTAAATGGAACTCAATGAAATTCGTAAGTGAGGCATATTTATCCAAAGTTTTCTCTTGAACATTTTTATTTCCTTTTAAAAGTCCTGGAGCAAGTGAAGCAGAATCACAGGAAATTCCTTCACAATATATTATACCAAGTTAAACACAACAGCCGTGGGTTCAGTTCTGAGTGTTTAAGTCAAGCACCCTCACCCTCCCCATCCTTTTTTGGGATAAATGTGCATTGTCAATTTATTCAGAGCTGCTCCATGTAACCGCAGCAATACAGTGACATGACCATTTTGACTGGAGAAAATGGTTCGTCGTTATCTGTGGTGCCGGGATGCAGACATGAAGATTTGGGGAGCAAAACCCAAAGGAAACATGATAATGTGGGGCTGACTAAGGGTGGGGCCCTGGTCTGTGATCTATGTGGATCCTATGATGTCTTGAGAGAGACGAAGAATGGTTAAAGCCTTTTCCGCAGTGAGAGCACCTGTATGGTTTTTCCACAGACAGGATGAGCTGCTTTGGGAAGGCGTTGTTGGAGTAAGCCTTTCCGACGGGGATGGCAGTGTATTGTTGCGGCTGCGGTGTTGGTGGTGATTGTGGTTGCGGTTGTAATTGCTGCTGTTGCTGCAGCGGCGATGAAAGAGCCTGCTTCTCCAAATGAACTCTCTGATGCCTCGCGAGGGAAGAGCCGTGGTTGAACTTTTTGCCGCAGTGACCACAGGTGTACGTTTTTCCATCCGAATGGACTCTTTGGTGCCGTGACAGGGAGGAGGAATGATTGAAGCCTTTGTCACAGTGGTGGCACATGTAGGGTTTCTCCCCTTCCTGAAGTACCCTTTGCTTTGGTGGCGAGACGAAAGCGACAGCTTTCCCGGGCTGTGGTGGAGAAAACACTGGGTTCTGCAGGTGGGTCTTGTTATGGCGAGACAGGGATGAGGAGTGGTTGAAGCCCTTGTTGCAATGTCGGCAGGTGTAGGGCTTCCCCCCAGCATGAACTTGCTGATGCTTCTTCAGGTGACGCTTGCGAACAAAACTCTTCCTGCACATGTTGCATTTGTACGGCTTTTCACTAGAGTGGATCCTCTGGTGCTCTCTTAGAGTTGCGGCGGCTGCAAAGCACTTCCCGCACTGCGCGCACCGGTGGGGCTTATCCCCCAGCACGACAACAGCGTGGGTCTTTTGGTGCTGCTTCAGATTGGAAGTCGTAGCAAAGCCTTTGCCACACTGGCCACAGGTGTATGGTTTTTCACGTGCATGGACCTCCTGGTGCTTTTTTAAATGCCTCCTACGGACAAAGCTCTTTCTGCATTGTGTGCACTTGTATGGTTTGTCCTCAGAATGCATCTTCATGTGTTCTCTCAGTGTTATGGCAGCTGCAAAGCTCTTGCCACACTCTGTGCATCTGTGGGGCTTGTCTGGCAAATGAATCATCTGATGAGACTTAAGGCTGTAGGCATCGATCACATCTTTACCGATGAGGTCGACGCCTGGGGGAACATATGGTTTTTCTTTCATGTGGATTTTCATGTGTTGCTTGAGGCTGGCCTCTACAGCAAAACTCTCCCCGCAGTGGATGCAGATATACGGGTTGAGGTCCTTGTGGATCTCAAAATGTTGGTGAAGATCAGCTATGCTGCCAAAAATCTCCCCACACTCGTTGCACTGTAAGCCATGAGCTTCATGTATGATCACTCCATTCTCCGATTCCACTGTCAACTCCCCACCGTGATCCGACTCCATTTTAACCACATGCTCGCCATCCGTCTTAAGAAGCACCTCACCCAGCAAAGTTTCCCCGGTTTCCGTCTTAATTTCTGCTGCCGTGAAACAGTGTATGTCAGCATTCTCTACCTTGATATAGTCATGGTCTGTCTCTGCAACGATTGCATCCACACACGTGACAGCCCCAAGGTCTCCCCCGAGTCCCTGTATCTTTAGGTCTGAGCCATGGATCCCCAGCTCCAATCCACGCTTCTCCTCTGTAATGATCTCCGTTTCTGCTGCGTAGTGAAGGTCGACATGGCTATGGGCTATGACACACTCCGACCCAAGTGTGTCGAGCCCTGGAGTGTCACACTCAGTCTCTGACTCGGCCATAAGAACACACTCCAGCCCCACGGCCTCCGTTTTTTCTGCCGGATGATGACCAAAGAGAGAATCGGGGTTATAAGTTGGGTTTTTTCACCTGCACCACTGCTCTAGTCGGCAATCAAACCTGGAAGAAAAAAAGAAGGAAAAAAAAGCAAGAAATTACTGAAAAGAAACTTTCCCATCAAAACTATACTGCTAATCTAGATGAACAAAAACACCTGTTTTGTTTTTATTTCCTTTATTTTCTTCATTTAATATGCATATAAGGAATGTAATTGAATAACTCAACTGAAAATCAAACTCAACAATGCTATTAACAACAGCAGCAATTTTATATCAATATATAAAAGTAAAAGGATGAGGGATTAGTTGAATTTAGCCAATGCAGATAATGTAACCCATCAAACTAAGTTGTCAGAGGCTATTTGTAGAGGTAAAAAAGAAAAGAAATGGAAATGTAAGGTTTAAAAAAAAAAAAAAAAAAATCACAACTAGGGCTGAAACAATCAGATTAATCGTGATCGATCAATTATTGTGATAATCGTCAACTAATTTAGTAATCGATTAATCGTTAACTGGAGTATAGACTCTAAAACATGCCTTTAGCTGACAGAAACCCATTTAGAGCAGTAATTATAAGTGTACAAAAATACGTAAACATTTTACATTTAGGAGAAAAAAAAACATCTGTCAATATGCTCCATCCAGAACTTTAGAACAAAAGTTTTAGTTTCACCTGATTACATTCGTAAAAAAAAAAAAAAAAGCTTCCTTAAGGAACCTTTGGCTATCCAATTAATCCAAAAACATTATTGACAGATTATTCAATTTGCAAAATAAGTTGGAGATCACTTAATCGTTAACGGGTGTAACACATGCTTTTAGCTGACATTTATGTCTGTCAATATGTTCCATCCAGAACTCCTCAAGTGGAAAAGTTTTAAGGAATCTTTTGGTATCCGATTATCAGTTGGTTTGCAAAAAAAAAGTGTTAGTTGCAACCCTACTAAATCAATGTACAAATACACACAAATTCATATTAAATTCAAATATAAGCATACACCTTAAAGAATTTTATTTTATTAAATTTACAGTAAGTTAAGCTAAATAAACCTGGAAATAAATAGCAAAGAATTCCTGTATATTTATTTATTTCAGAACCGCAAAGTAGTAGTAAGTCAGTATTCCAAATGTTTAAAAGATTGATAATTTGGCAAAAGGTTTTAGGCTTAACCATTGGGCAAAGGAAGCCAACCCCCCCCCCCATTCATGATCACTATAATTATATTGATATTTTAACCACTGTGCAAATGCTGCTGTAAACTGATACAGCAGATTAACCATGGAGCAAGGTTTGACTAAGTGATCGACCATCTACAGTCAGTTCAGAATAATGGTTTGAGCATGAATATATCTCAAAAGTAGTCGTGCTAGTTGAAACATTTGATGACAGCATTAGCGCACAAGCTTCGCTTCATTAGCCATATTCCAGTGATAATAAAACAAGGTTAACCACGCAATTCCTTGTTGTATCCTAACCCATAAAAGGCCACCCCCACTAACCTTTATGAAACGTCTCGACCCTTTGTATTACTGTCCATCTAAGATTTAAGAACTGGTTTTAAAGTAATCGAAAATGTAGTGGTTTTTTTGTCAGTTAGCTTTTCTACGACGGCTATGAATAGCCTCCATAGCAGCTAGTTAGCCGCTTATGGTGGACAGGGACTGGTTACCGACTAAACAGCATTGTGTTAGCTGCTAATACGTTCGCTTTTTAGCCAGCTAACTAGCCTATAGGAAAACAGACGGGCAAGAATGTTAGTTTCAGGGCTTTAAAAAAATGCAAACGCTTACAACAAAACAGGCGTTCATACCGTGTATATTAGCGCAACTTAAGACGACGGTACGACGCGGAAATTCTTCCACTGCGATTATTACCAGGCCATCTTGTTGTGCCACACCAGCACTTCCAGCTAGTCTAAGATGGCTGCCGCTTGGCTAACGTTATCCGCCTTAGCTTCCGTCATACTCAACATATTATCCATAGCCGGACTATCAAAGAACGAAGCAAAAGTCGTAAAAAGTACCTAAAAACAAAAGCCGAAAATAACCACACATACGCATTGGTATAAATGTACTTGCAGCTACGCTATCGGAGACAACAGCACGCTAAGAGTCCCCTATAATTCCTATGAGGAGTTGGTTAGCTGAAACAAAGATGGCTAACCTGAGGTGGAAGCTGATGTGTAAAAAAGCCCGGGAAATTGTGGCTTTGGTCAAAAAAGACCCCCTAATTAGACGTAATTAAAACAAAGTATCCGGCTGAATAAAACAAAACAGTAAAACGATGACCAAGGAAACCAGACCGACTTCATCTACAGGCTTTCAATGCGGCAGCAGCAGAACAACCACACTTCAATGGCGGCCTTGGTTGTGTTAGCAGCTACCGAGCATACATGCCGCGGCTACATAGCCATGATACCGAGCTAAAAACTCAGCTAATCCAGTTTGTTAGCATGGCTAAATCGTCCGTATACTTTCACATTGACATAAATTCACGTTGTACAAGACTAGAGCAGGAAACGCTTATCTATATACTGACCTATTTATATAAATATATATCCATATTGTTTTGAGATGGTATGGTATTTACAATACATATACTAGAAAGACTAGACTGATTAATTAGATTTTAAAGTTTCTTAAACATATGATTTTCTAAGGTTCTTTTATTTAGGACATCACTGTTCCGACTATCGCGGGGCAAGGCCTGTATTTTCCAGAGTTGTAAACTGCTGGCCAGCTATTACCACCCAATACGTATAACTAAAAGCAAACGGCACTGTGATCATATTTATATGGGCACAATCCTGCACCTATAAAGTAAACAAATTTAACAACAGATCGCATTTAAAGGCTGAAGTGTGCACCGGGATTAACATAATGAAGAGTTAGGATACAAAAACCTTACATGCACACACCCACCTTTCTGTCCTGGTATTTTTTGGTTGTTGCAGAGAGAAAAGACTGAGAATCTTTTTGCGATTTCAAACACTGGGTTGGCGGAAGGTTTGCAAGTTTTTTTTTTTTTTCGGTGAGCCTCGTCACACTGCCCTGCTCTGTGTCTCTTCGTTTCCTCTCACAGCCTGTGTGTACAGCTGGCGCCACAGCTCATCTGGCGCCAACGTTGGACCTCCGACTCACTTTAGCGAAAGCAACTATTGTCATTTCATATCGGCACATGGACTATCATCTCCCCCTACAGGCGTGGAGGTACAATGCACAGACCTGACTCCTGGTTTGTTACCCCAGCATGCTCTACTAATCTCAAAATCACTTGATCAAAAAATAAATGTAATGTTCTAATAACTTTTAAGTGTTTTACAGCTAAAACAAGTAAATCGGAGGGAAAGAGTATTATTAAAGAAAAATTAATGGAAAAATGGCAAGAAAGGTGGATAAAGAAAAAACAGGAAGATGGTTTTATAAAATTCAGAAGATAGGAAAAAGAAGAAATGGAAAATGAAATAGAAAGGAGGAGAGAGTGATAACAAGGTTAAAATTTGGGCATACAGGACTTAATTATAAACTTTTCAAAATTCAAAAGCATACTATTGGCAAATTTCATCACTGTGGAAAATATGAAACAATCGAAAATGTTATACTGGAATGTCATAAATATGAAAGCAAGAGAAGATATATGAGGGGAGAGTTTGAATGTATTAAGGAAAAGATTAATTTATTAGATATTTTTAGGGAGAATTTGGGAAATAAACATATACAAATAATTATTTGATTTTTAAAGAAAACTAAATTATTTCAAAGTGTTTGGTATGATTATTCACTTTGAACACCTAATGTAGCCATCTATCTATTTCTGAATTTTACAGCTGTCATTCTTTAACTTGTTTGGCCTTTTCTTCAAAATGCTGTTGCATTATGTGAGGTTTATATTACATGTGTGCTTACTAGTTGGATCTGTGAAATAAAACCAATAAAAGATCTCTTAAAGTGATATCGTCTTTTACTATTTACATCTGGAAAAAAAGAAAATTTAAATGCATAATTAAAAGCCGAAATTACAAGGCTGTTTATGTTTGTGGTAATTATTTACCTCCCAAATGAGCTGCATTAACTGACAACTTTGAGATATGAATGCATTTGCGAAAGATGTGATCTACAAATAAGTTTATCTGCTGTGATGTTTGCAAGAAGAATGTAAAACAAGGTAAGAGATTCAATTTTACAGAAAATAACTGAAACCTGTCCAACTAAAGAGATGAAAATATGATTCAAAAACAAAGTTCTTTCTTTTTTTGGATATTCCGGCTAACTGTTCCATAAGTCTTGTGTATGAGGTGATCTTTGCTCTTTAATTAGTCATTTTATAACCTTTTGTCTTTCATACCATGGTCATTTAAATATAAAGTATGATCATTGCATTTTGCTATACATTTTAAAATAATACTTTATTTTGTCATTATAAAACATTACAGTGGCTCAGTTCATTTTACTTCTACATAGTGTTGCCTTATCTAGTAATTGTTCAGGTCAGAGCTTATAAAGATTAGGAATGAACTTACTGACCACAGTTTAAAAGAAACTGTTAAGGAGCCCTTATATCTACTGAAAAAGACAAACTTCCTATATGTCGGTGAGTTTTATTTTGAAGGATTGTCTTCCTTCCTCACCTTTGTGCCAGTTTCAGGCTCGTGAGCGCATACTTCAATAGTTTAGCGTCCAACCAGGATTTCTGGTTTTACCTTGAGAGTTGACTACATAGCAAACATTCTGTCACACAGAGTGTCACTCTCACAGTTTCACTGGAGCTATTCACATCAGGAAGGCAATTATCCAAACTTGATCCTGTTTACTTAGTCTTTTTCTTTATCTATTAACCTGAGCAGCACATTGTCCTCAAGCTGATTAACCTGTGGATTTTATGTTTGGTGTCTCATCTGCTGGATTTATTCTATCATCTTTAAAACAAAAAATGTCTAACTCAGGGAGTCTGGACATAGACAGATACGCTACTTTGGACAACAGGTCCCGTCGTTCAACAACTCGGAACCAGAGCAGGCAGAAGACCAAGTATGGAGAGGTCCTTTGTGACTTCTGCACTACCAGAAAGCAAAAGGCTGAGAAGTCCTGCCTGGTTTGCCTGGCGTCATACTGTGAGGAACACTTGCAGTCACACTATGACTACCCCACCCTCATGAAGCACAAACTAGTCAAAGCCACAGGCCAGATGAGGGAGAAGATTTGTGCCCAGCACGACAAGCTGCTGGAGGCCTTCTGCCGCACCGATCAGACATCAGTCTGCGTCCTGTGCATGATGGACGAACACAAACAACATGACATTGTTCCAGCTGGAACTGAGAGAACTGAAAAACAGGTGAGCATTGAACAGAACTCAAGATTTCCTTACTGTATCCAAACGATATATGTGTTGTTAACATGTTATAACTTATTTGAATTTAAATTGCTTAGAAACAACTGGGTTCAACACTGCACAAATCTCAACAAAGGATTGACCAACGAATTAAAAAGTGGCAGGACCTGAGGCAAGCCGTTGAATCAGTTAAAGTGAGTAGAACCCGTCTCCATTAGGTAGGAAGGATTTATTGTTTCTATTGTTATTGTTTTCTAATCCTCTGCATGTACCTCAACAGCACTCTGCTCAAACTGTTCTTGAAGAAAATGAGCGTATCTTCACTGAGCTGCTGCATTCTATAGAGAGGAAGTACAATGAAGTCAAAGAAATGATCCGATCCCATGAAAGGACCACAGTGACCCAGGGGGAGCTGCTCCTGGATCGCCTGGAGGAGGAGATCACTCTCTTGAGGAAGAGGCACACCGACCTGGAGAAACTCTCCCGCACTGATGATCACATTCATTTTCTGCAGGTGAAGCTGATATGCCTAAAGTAACACCGTGTATTTAGCGGTCAGACTGGTCTTTATGCTCGTCTTTGTGTGTTTTTTTTATGTTTAACAGAGCTGGCAGTCTCTGTCGGGCCCCTCCGGATATGAAGACCTTAACAACATAAGTGTTGTTCCCAATTATTCCTTTGATGCTGCAAAGAGAGCTGTTGCTTCGCTGAAATTACAAGTCGAAGAAGTCAGCAAGACAGAAATGATGAAAATCTCTGGAGCAGGTGGACATAATTGTCTGGTTTCCACACTAAATTAACCGGAAAACCAAATAGCTTTATTACTGTCATTCTTTTTCTGTCTTATTTTTTATAGTGAAGGAAGTTTACATCACGCAAGAAGCAAAGGAGGTTGAGAAAATGAGGAGAGAATCAATTGTGAGCGTTGATGCAAGGATCGCCGAAGAACCGAGGATAAGAGAAGACTTCTTGAAATGTAGGTATATTAAACGTAATCCAGATGAGTGATATTCCAGTATCAAAACAATACATTTCGTAACATCTGGGCTTGAAAAGAAATCTCTGCACATTGACAAAAGGGTGAGTCCACAAAGGAAGATGAATGAAACTAAGACAGAACGTATTCAGCTTGCTTAACCGGTTCATCAGTATGATGGTAGCCGTAGTTAGAATTCACATTTAGTGAGGCAAACACAGGTGTAGCTGGTTTTGTTTCACCATCATGCCACACCCAGTTACAATCTCGTTCTCAGTTGCATCAAATCAAGTTTAAAAATTAAACAAGCACCCGTAAAGATCCAAATGGCATGTTTTTACTTTTTTAGATGCCCACCAAGTGACTCTGGATGTCAACACTGTCCATCCGAACCTTCACCTCTCAGAGGGAAACAGAACAGCAACAATGAAAAGTGAACCTAAAAACTACCCTGAACACCCAGATCGGTTTGACCACTGGCAGCAGGTGGGGATTTACATTTTCAGCAATGTTTATTCTTTATTTTCCTCTACATTTTTCATCATCTTTGGTCCTTTTATTATCCCTGACCTTTAGGTTTTGTGCAGAGAAAGTGTGTATGGGTCTCGTTGTTACTGGGAAGTCGATTGGCGGGGAACGGAAATCGACGTGGCTGTTACGTACAAGGGAATCCGTAGAAAAGGAAATGGCAATGACTGCAGCCTGGGATGGAACGACAAGTCCTGGAGTTTGTACTGCTCGGAGTCCAAGTTCACTTTTGTTCACAACAACAAAAGCAAAGACCTCTCCGTCCCTGTGACACACCGTATCGGTGTCTACTTGGACCACGGAAAAGGAATACTGGCATTTTACAGTGTCTCTGATGGCATGCGGCTCCTGCACAAAATTCAAACTTTATTTACAGAGCCCCTGTACCCTGCTTTTAGTGTGTGGGGCTTTGGCTCTACTATAAGGCTGTAGGAGAGGAGCCAGATAACCAGCTTTTTTACAAGCAAACTATACTCGATATTCATGTAAGGAAGCTGGAATAGATTTCAGTTTCTGTTTGATTTATTTTGTTACTTAATCATGAATAGAAGATAGTACCAAATTTTACTATGGTATATATATATTTTTAAATATTTTGTCTGTATGTTTGAAAAGACATTGTAAAACTAGTTAATGTTCAATTACATTGGTGTGTTTTTTTCCTATAGCTTAAGCTTTGATAAAGTAGGAGGAATTAATTCATTCATAGATTCATGCCTTACTCTTTAATTCCAGTTATGCAGCACAGTGAAATAGTACACTCATTTCTTGTTTTCTTCTTTTTTTGTTATCTCAGTCAAACTTCTTTTTATAACATTTGCTGTATTTTTTAATTCTTCAAGTCTTCTTTAAATAAAACTATGAGGGGCGATTTTTATTTTATTTCTTTTAAGATACTGATGTTTGTTTTGCCTTTATTTGTTAAAATAGAAACAAATGTAGGCTACATCCCCTTCCTGGACTAAAATGTGAACAAGTAAATAAAGAAAATCATCGCATTTCAGTTATTGTTGCACTTTTTTGGCTTGTTAAGAATTAAAAAAAGTACTAATATTAGAAATGATGTTAATGACCCTTTCACACGAAAACATTAACATTTAAATTACATTTTCCTGTAGACTTAGACAAACTTTATTGTTGTTTTTTGTATACACAGAGTCTACACAAACTGAAATTTTGATGCATACTTTTCAACAGTGAATGAGCAGCTTAGAAGTGAAATGAACACTTCCAGGATTGATCAAAATGTAAACGGTATGGGAGAGACATGGTGCAAAAGGCATTGATGTGGAAGGTTCAGAGCAATGCAAAATAAAAGTAAATATGGTGTAAAATGCAGTAGAACATTGAGTTGAATTCTATTTAAAGGGATTTGAAAATTTGCCATGTAGGAACATATGATGTTTACATGTGTGATGCAGAGTCTCAATTTGTGACTTGATTGAGTTTTCAAAATGTTAACAGTCTTATGGCAGTGGGGAAAAAGCTGTTGCAGAACCTGCTGGTTCTGCATCAAATACCGCAAAGTCTCTTCCCAGAGGGCAGCAGGGAGAACGTCCATGGTAGGCGTGTGAGGGGTCATTGATGATGTTACGGGCTTAGGACACGCAACACTAGGATTAAATGTCTTATGGAGGAAAGAAGAGCCCAGATGATCCTCTCTGCTGTTCTCACCACTCTTCTCTCACTCTTCCAGTCTGCGGTGCTGTGCTTCTATAGAAGGTGGTGAGGATGGGTGGGGGCAAATGGGCTCTCCTCGTCCTCTGCAGGAAGTACAAGCGCTTCTGTACCCTTTTGACCAGTGAGGTGGTGTTTACATTCCAGGTCAGTTTGTGACGTGCACCCCCAGGATTTGGTGGTGTGGTTAGGCTAGTTCTTCCTGAAGTCGACGATGATCTCCTTCGTCTTCTCCAGGATCTTCAGGATCAGGCTGTTATCTCTGCACCATCCCACCAGCTGCTCCACCTCCTCTCTGTAGTCCTGGTCGACTCGGACTGACTAAGTTGACTGACTGTAAATATTGTATATATTAAAGCACTATCATTCAGTTGAAATCAGATAATTGCATAATCTATTGAAAGATTTACCCGAATCATTTAGCATATATTGTATTTCCTATATGCTGTACTATATGCTGTAGTAAGGATGACATATATTTTAGATTTTTTCCTATTCTAAGTCATAAGTATAAAAATATTTTTATAGTAATCAGATGAATTGCCTTTTGCAGTGTGTGACTCGGGTCAGATATTTTCACAAGCTTCTCACAATAGTTTGATGGGATTTTTCCCATTCCTCCAGACAGAACTGCTCTGGCCCAGTGAGGTCGTAGGACATATTGCTCACACAGTTTTCCAGCTGTGCCACCAACTCTTTAAATGAATGGGTATCATTTAGTGCTGGACACATCAAAGCAGTCCCTTTGTTATTCAAAGTCACTTGCAAGAAATTTGGGATAATGTTTGGGAATATTTTCTACCAGGAAGACCATTTTGCCTTAATTTTCTGGTTTATGATTTGAGATGTTGATTCAATATTTATGCATAAAGCTCTTTCCTAAAAAAACAAAAAAAAACATAATAATTGTCCCCAGAGAGCCTTTTCCAAACTAAAATCTGTTGTTTTTGTTTTTATTTTTGATATATTTTTCTAACTTACTGTCACTTTTGAAGTAATGACTTCTCCCTCACTAAGTGGCCTTTTTCTTTGGATGAAGCTTCACTCAGAATTTTTATTGTTTCCTTAATTTTTTTCTGGGGTTGATCCACACATTTTGCATAAAAAACAAAATCTCTTTAAAAGCCAAAGTGAATGTTTGTGTCTTTGATTTGTTATTATGGCACAGATTATTCTCACACCTTAGGCAAATACCTGGGTCTCACAATTCATGTTAGACACTTGATGGTAGCATGACTAGTATACTGCAGGTGTTTTCTTTTGAGCATCAGTTTCCTCCATTTACCTCAAATTTTATTAATTGTAAGCCATGAAAGTTTTCTGTTTTGTTTGAAAGTTTTTTGTTGTAATTAAACACTGTTGATCCAAGCTAGATAAATGTCCTCCATTCGGACATTTTTTTTCTTTTTTTTCCCCAGCTTTTTATTGTCATTGCACTGCCACAGTACAAAGCAACAAAGTGAACTCTTTGCATTTACATTTAACCCATCCCCTTTGGGAGCGGTGGTCTACCATTGTGCAGTGCTTACTCAGAACCTCAGGATTCCAAGTATGTAATTAAAAATGTTTTTTTTTTTTTACTTTTTCTTAAATTACTTTTTCACATCTCCCTGAAATAATGATGGGATGTGGCTGTTGTCTTTCAGAAATAATAAGGCGCTATCTGAATATGTGTAGGATTCTCATCAGTTTAGCTCACGGTTCTGCAACCTTTAAAGAAAGAGCCACTTAGCCTTGAGTGCACCTAAAAAAAAGTCATTTAGAGCCACACATTATGTTTAAAAGAACACAAACTATTATCTGTGTAAAATATCCTCTAAAGGAAAGTTGTTGCATTTTTATTTAAAAAACCAACAGCTTATTTGTATTTTTAGGTTTTAAAATAAATGAAAACATATATCACTTAATAAACAGGAAGCATGATTTTTTTTTCCTATAGGATATTATTAAATGTAAATTTTAAAAATAAAAAAATATAAATTTTCAAATTTTGACAAGAAAAACCTTATAACCTATTCTGTCATAAAAAAAATAGTAAAAATACACAAATATTAGTATGTTTTTTAATACTTAGTAGGTTTACTTTATCATTTCCACTCGCTATTAAGAGTCATTAAGGAGGGGTCCAAAAAAACCACTTGGGGGCCCAGAGCCGCAGCTTGCAGACCCCAGATCTAGCTTAATGTTTTTTGGTGAAATCAACAATGTGGGCTGCCTTTTACAGTTGCTTTTTGTATCTCTGCTTCTGTCTCTTTGAACCCAGTCGGCCTCAGCAAAGGGCTGCTCACACTGAGCCTGGTTCTGCTGGAGGTTTCTTCCTGTTAAACGTGAGTTTTTCCTCTCCACTGTCGCTACTCGCATGCTTAGTGTGAGGGATTGCATTCGATTCAATGAGTCGATGCAATCAACTGGTTTTCCTTAGATAGAAAACTTTGAATGAATTTGACTGGATGACTTGGTGAACTGTAAAGTGCCTTGAGATGACATGTGTTGTGAATTGGCGCTATATAAATACATTTAATTGAATTGAACAATGTTGCAACTGTCCCCAATACTATTTTTCCTCCCGAAAACTTCCCATGGTATACACCAGGGGGCAGTATCAACCAACTTTAATTAAAAAAATGTCTTAATAAAATGGATTTAACTTTTTCTCCCTCTTTGTCTCGCATATAAACCCTTATTGGCCATATAGCTTTTCTAATTTAAACAAATACTTTGCCTGAACAATTTTGATTTGTTGGATGTTCACTAAACAGCAGATGTATTTGTTACACGGTTATCAGTAAAAGGATTGATCAATAGTAGTCTTTCTTAATGGAGCCGTCAATTGTCTGTGCGTCAGGCTCCGCCCACTGGGACGCAATATTTTTTGGGTGGGTGGAGCCAAACAGCTGGATTTTCTTTTGGGGTCTCTAGTCTCGTGGCTGCAGCGGTGGAGTGAGTGAGCGCGAGCGCGGCACGCCAGGCACTTCAAAGCCAAACGGATGAAAAAAACACAGCCGCTCCACAGGAAAAAGAACTAAAACATAAAAGGAAAACAAGGCGGCATCTTTTGGGACTTTTTTGGGGAGCAAGGAGGACACGTCGGCAGTCCTAAAGTTTCCACAATATCTACAAATTTCTCTGTTCTGCAGAGGCTGAAGGTGAGCGATCACAGCTTCATATCTTATTGCATTTGATTGAAGAAGAATGCTTGAAACTATTTATCTAAGATATGCACACACAAAAAAAAAAGCTGAGGAACAAATAGCCAATATCATTGTTTAAGAAGTTGAACGATTTTTGCACGGTTGCATCACGCATCAGCCAACTGAGAAGATTACTTTGATCAGTATTGCTGATTAGTGCGTGATAAGTAGCAGAATAACTCTGAACTAACTGCCCTAATTCTCTCCTTCCCCAGCTAAAAAAGGAAGCATCTGTCCCATCTGCCAAGCATCTTCAGAGAAAATGAGCCAGTGTGTGACCATGCAGAGCCCAGTGACTTGGAGTTAAATGTTTGTCTGCTACCTGAGAGGATATTCTTGGGCTGGAAGGAGAGGAAAGGGGATTGTCGAGGTGGTCCAAAATGTCTCTGTGGATGATACTGCCTGTTAGTCTCCCAGTTCTGAGCATCACTGGGATATGGGTTGTGTAAGTTTACACTCCTTTTACAATCAAAGCTTTATTAATAAACCCTTATAGCAATGCATTTTTAATAAGCAAAATAAGTCAGCGGATTTCCATTAATGAGATTTTATTTGTAATCAGTACGTCAGCTACTGAAAACATTGATTGAATACTGAATTATAGGAACACATAATTGCATAATTTACTACTGAAGCTTTACCCCCTCTTTTTTCAAGCTCTTCTTTGAAACATCTCCTTTTTTTAAGATCTACAACAATATTTTCTTTATCCATCACGCTGTTCCAGAGACACAACTAAAACCCTCCCTAGGGGTAAATATAAAAATATACAATTTAATTGATATGACAAAACTTACATAGTCCTTCAAG